ATCAGTAGGAAAAGCAGTTAAACTCATAAAAATACACTTAAGTCCAAAATTTATGCCCTCTTTCACATTTTCCAAAGCTGTCCAGTCGGCCGAAATAAAGTCTTTTGTGGGCAAATTTTGGCCCCTGGTCCTTTATGTTTGACACCAATGGTCTAAATCATTTATTCCTGCATATAAACACAGTTAAATATAATTTCACACACATACTGGCAATAATCGCTCCTCCCTCCTCTGTAGAACTTCACATACACAGCTTTCTTGTTTCTCTGTGTCGCCACACAATTAATGATTACTGTTAAAGTAGCTTTGCATTAATCCTATGCAACATTAAATTGAACCAACCCCACCCAACTGCAGCCTCCAGGTTTGAATACTTTCCTGGTGGAAACCCTGTCAAATGATTGTTGGACAACATTTTCGCTAACTTATGTGCTAGTTATCCTCATCAAACCAGTCAGTCTGTGTTTAAAATTCCTGGCAGACATGTAGACACTTTTTGGGTTTTGTGTGCCTCTGAATCCCTCTCCTTTTGGACCAGCTCCAGTCTGTGTGTAGCATGAACCTGCTGCTGCTGCTGCTGCCTCCTTGTACATGCACATTAATATCTCTCAGCCTACTGCTATGAGCTGCTCTCCCTGGAGGCTTTGTTCTGTACGGGTGGAGAGCCAGCAGAAGGGGGGGTTGGAAGAGAGAAAGTGAGAGTGAGTGAGCACTGGGACTTCCTGTACTCTAGCTTTTCCCCTCCTAATGGAGCTGACCCATGAAACTGAACACCTTAACATGGCACAGGAGTGTGTGCATGAAGCTTTACATATGGTCAAGGTGCTTTTAATTTCATTGTCTTTGCCTACATGTAGCAGTTGGCTGTAAACTACCAATCTAATTAACTGTTTCTATTGACTGATTTTTATTAATGATGAACCAGACTCCTCTCAGAAAGGCCAAGAATGTTTTTTCTACAGCATGGCTCACCTTTGGATTAAATCATTTTTAATTTGGAAACTATCTAGTAAGCTTGTACCCTACTTTAAATTTTAAAGAAAAAAACATTAAGACCACTGAAAGTTGGTAGCACTTTAGCAGCAAGAGGGAAAAGGATGGTACTGAGACTTCCTATGATGGCCTACAGATGGTGGAATTGACAAAAAGACAGGAGGCAGAGCTGAAAGTGGCAAAGTTATTGTGAGTGACCAGGAGGGTCAAGATTAGAAATGAGTTGATCAGAGGGATAGCTCAGGGTGAGTGTTTTGGAGACAAAGGAGCTTGGTAGTGTCCAAAGGAAGAATAGCGAAAGACAAAGGATGTAAAAGATGAAGCTCATTGACAGGTGGAAGAGAGGAAGACCACAGAGAAGATTCATGGATGTGGTGAAGGAAGACATGCTGGGGGTTGGTGTGACAGACGAGGAGGCTAGGGTTGAGATGGAGGCAGACCCCTTAAGGGAGCAACTGTTGATTTCCTTGCAATATGATGTTCTTCTAAGAACTCTTAGTTCCTGGCATTTATGTGGATGATTTTCTATCCACCTAAACATTGTTGATAACTTTTTCTTTGTTGGCCATGAGCTGCAACATCACCACCACCCAACTCATACTGTGAGGGTGAATATTTGGTATTTTTTGCTTGATAAATGGCACAAAAATTATGACAGGTATTATTAAAAAGATAATGCATTGCTTGCACTAGCTTTTCAGCCTTTGAAATATTGGGTATATATAAAACAAAAAAATTCATAATGTTGACTAATCTTTTAGTTTTGCATCTAAAGTAGGGTTGCTAGATTATTACAGCTGCAGTACTTTAACACAATTACCCCAATACTGTAGAGGATTTAAGCCATATTTTTTATTTGGTATAGTTCCTTGAGCTTTAATTATAGAGGGTTATTATGGATAGGCCAAGACAGAAGAAGGGAAAAAGATGTGCTGAAAGGCAAAACCAAAGAATTATTGCAAAACAGAATGCGCCACAATAATCACTTTATGTCGAGCGTCTTGCTTTAATATTTGCTGGAAGCCAAATCTGACATTGAAATTAAAATTAGAATAATTGCACAGCCCTAGTCTGAAGCATGTTTTGTGTACACCTTTTGTGGTGCTTCTCAGATTAAACAGTTGATTTTCCTACCCTGAGAATTCCTCTGCGTCGCAGAGTCTCTGAGTTGAGCTGAGTGCATTTCAAATTCAGGAGTTCCCCAGCCATTTTTCCACTCGATTACTTTCACTTTGCTTGCGTTTACTTCGATGTATGCCGCCAACTATATTAGACCTTGTTACATCCACTACCCATTAGGATCAAGTTGCAACAGTACTGTAAATAATACACTGAGCCACAGTCATACCTGCACATGCCACTGCTCTGTCAGTCCTCTCGTCAGATGTCCTTGTTGTCATTTCAGTGTAGAACAAATGTTTTTCAAAATCAGATTTAGCATATAGCAACATTATAAGAAAATAACTGACATATACCTGCAGCTATCGAAAAATACATTTATTGTCTTGTGAAAGAGGAAACGCAAACACACTGAACTTTTATGTATTTTTATTTTTTTATCTTTTGTAGAAAATTGACCGTTAATTGAAATTAGTTAGTAACCCTACTGAATTTTACGCTGAATTCCTTTTTGTATTGTACTGCGGGTGTATGCAGCAGTTTATTTGATTACGTCTTAAGCTCTGTTCCAGTTCTGTGTATTGTCTTTGAATTATTATGTTTTTATTCAAATAGCATTCAGTTTCATGTCTTTTTGTTACAATGTTTCCCGTCCCGACATTGTTGGAGATAGCCGACACTTGTTGGATGTGGGCCTCTCTGAAACGGGCCAACTATTCTGTGAATGGAGTCAGGGGAAACCCCCGTAGTTTCAGTGTGGTGACTCACAGCTCCTGGTGTCCTGTGGAATTTGGTCAAGTGCCTATTTGTGGTTAAAAAGGATCTATCTCATAACGTACTTCTGCTTTGATATGTATTTTTTTTCCCGAGTAGAGCCTATATGTGTGGGATATTTTTAACTGTTAGGTCTTGTGAGTGTGCATCAAAACAGAAATGATGTACAGAAACCTCAATGAGACCAAGCTGTAGCTTCAGACTTTCCAGCTCCATTCGTTTTGAAAAGCATCTGAATTCAGTTAATCGGAATGTAAACTAAAAGGAGGGCTGAGAAAGGGGTCTTTTATAATCCCCTAGAGACACTTCTGTACTCCTCTATTCTCTGATAATTATTCTATCCCAAATAAATGAAGTCAAACTTGAGACAGGGGACATCCTGCTTTTGCTGAGTCTCTGTTAAGTCACAGAAGAGGAATGCGTGAAGCGCGATCTGCATCGACCTTTTAACGGTCCTCTCACATTCCTTAATCTGGGGGCAAAGTTTTGTCATCATTACTCATCACTTTTACTATATGCCAGGGTAATTCCATCACTAGCATGTGAACAGGCTTTTGTAAGAAACCAGGTTCATTTTCTATCCACCTCTCTGCTCGTGTTTTCTGCCACAGCTTCTTTTTTTTTCTCCTTCTCCTCCAAGACTACTTTGGATACTATAATAGTATCTCAACTGACAGCATTCCTGTGAGAGGGCACGGCCCAAATGACGGCAACTTTTGGGTAGCTGGAGGGTATTTTGGGGGCGGTGGTGTTACTCTCTTTCCATTAGTAGACCTGATGCAGCCACACCTTCTTTGTTGTCAGCATGTAAAATCACACCTTCTGTCAGGCTGGTTGCACCCTCAGGAGTCCCGCTGCAGAGCAAACCTGGGTGAATTGATATATCTGCAGAAAAGAGATGATACTTGTTTAAAAGACTTATTGTCTTGCAGTTAATTTTGTGGAGAGGTATTCGTGTGTTTGATTGCTGATTGCTGATTTTATTTATTTTTTTATAGGAAACTTATGAATCTTGTTGATTTGTGTGCCATAGCCTAATCGCTTGCATGTCTTTTAGATTTGTTTCCAACCTTAAAAGCAGTCATTTTTACTTGTGTTTTTCAGTGTATAGCTACATAATAGCTGGAGTTGAATATTTAACACTTCATTGTAAATATTTAGTTATGATTATTCTCTTGGAATGGCTAATGCAGAATTATATGGATCTGTAGAGGACTGCAGGCACAATCACATTCCTCAGAGTTGTAATGTTTTTTGCCAGGTGCCATCTACACACCTCCTCTCCTGCTATGATGTCACTCTATAATCTGCACATGAGCTCATAGTTATCAGTGGTTTTATAGGGTCGACAGAGTTGGCTAGTTTCCCGTAAATGTAGGTACAAAACTAAATTTAGAGAACGTATAGTTTTTAAGTATGAGTTTAGACATGCATTTGTCTGTCTGAGCTCCCTTGAAAGCAGCAAAAGAGTGTTTTATTAAAACTTGCATTAGGTAACTTTTTCAATATATTAATTGCTTTTTGTTGCCAGTTACTTAAAAGTGAGATGTTTCCTGATACTAAAGTTGTCTCATTTTCTGCAGAAAGTCATATGATGATTGTGCTTACGCCTGAGTATCAGTGAGCATCACTGGCTAATCATAGCTTAGTCATTTGTGGGCTTCATGTTTAACTCAGCTGAAGGAAAACAAAACTTATGTGGTTTCACATCAGAAGAAGAAGCTTTGTCTAATTAAATGTACAAGTGAGTTGTAATGTTCAAGTTGGTGTTGAATGAAACTGAGCTAGTAGATTTAGTGTGTGGGCTAAAATCTGAATAAACACCTTGTTAAAACCAAGAAAAAATGTTTATTTTCAGCCAGTCATTGTAACTGTAGGCTGATGTAATTGTGCGTGAGGCCAGCTGAGCTGCATCATACCAGATGTTAACATCACTTTGATATATTAAACAGTTTCACTTTACGTCATGTCAACAGTGCCAGAAGCATGTTGGGGTTTTTTTTTCTTTTCTTTTTTTTCTGTCCTACTGAATGAAAAATAATATCACTCCACATTATGGTGAATGACAAATTTTTGCCATGTCTGACACTTATTTGTTTTTCTGTAACTTTCAGGTACAGAAGCAGGTCCACCCAAACCTGACAGCAAAGGAGGATGCCCTCCAGTATATCGAGGAGCTGATCTTGCAGCTTCTCAACATGCTGTGTGTGGCCCAGCCTCGCACTGTGCAAGATGTAGACGTAAGGCCTCTACAATCTCTTGTAGTATTTATTTTCTAAGTAGATATTAATGATGTGTCAAACTGAAAACAAATATGAAAGAACAATAAAACAGATTGTGAGCTAATTTTCCCACTGGGTGTCCCGGCATTTTCCATTTAGGAAACGTATGATTCAACAGAAGCATTTCAAACACACTTACTTTATTCTAATATAAGTTCATCCATCTTAATGTTTGTACTCATATTCTTGATGAGGAAAAGTAACATTTCCTCTTCTCTTAAATTAGGAACGCGTCCAGAAAACTTTCCCCCACCCTATAGATAAGTGGGCAATTGCAGATGCCCAGTCAGCCATTGAGAAACGCAGGAGAAGACACCCCTTACTACTTCCTGTGGATAAAATACATCCATTGCTCAAGGTAAGGATACTTGACAGCTCGCTGTCCTGTTCATCCTCAGCGCTTTCCTCACTTTTATTTTTCAACCCTTTGAACTGTTATAGTTAATGTCTCATTGTGGGTTTTCCTTTTTTCTTTCAACAGGAGGTTTTGGGCTACAAAGTGGACTACCATGTGTCCCTATACATTGTGGCAGTGCTTGAATACATATCAGCAGATATACTGAAACTGGCAGGAAACTATGTTGGCAACATTCGGCACTTTGAAATCACCCAGCAGGACATCAAAGTGTCCATGTGTGCAGACAAAGTGAGAAGCTAAAGCTGTTAAACGTGATTAGGAGAGAAGAATTTCTTTTGAATGACACTGACTGGTTGTCACTGCTACCTGTTTCCAGGTGTTGATGGACATGTTTGACCAAGAGGAGGATATTGGGTTGATGTCGCAGAGTGCAGAGGAGCCCTTGTCCTCGGGGGAGCTCACGTATGATGACCTGGTGAGGCTTGAAATCGCAGAGGAGCGGCAGTACCTGAGAGAGCTGGACCTCATTGTCAAAGTGTTCCGCAGACACTTCCTTCACTCCAAAGTTTTCACAAACGAGGTGAGGAACTTGAATTAAAAGAAAGACACATGTCAGTATTGCTTATTTCTCAGTTTGACAAAAAAGAATCAGGTTATGACTCATTTAAACATAATGATTGATCTAATCACTGACCAGTATTTTATAATACAAAGTAAACTGTTCAGTGAACATGATCAAGTCTTATGCTTAAAAAAATGAGCGGTGGGCAAAGCCAGCTTGGAAAACAGTTAGGTTTTCATCAAAGCTATTTCAGTCTAATCCAACTTAAGATCATCTAAAGATTACAACTAAAACTCTGTAATCGGCTAACTTGTACTCAGCGTCATGAAGCAGTGTGAAATACCTTTTATACCTTTCATCATTTTTTTTTCTGCTTTTGTGTTTTTTGGGCTGTCTCTTCTACTAAGGCTTAGTATTGACTATAAATACTGCTTTGCTTACAGTATGACTTTATGTCAAAATGAATAAAGCATCATAATCTAAAAAAAGTATTGTCAGATTTTTCTCCATGCACTGTCCTATAATCGGCAGTCAGTATCAGCATCATACAGAAACATGTCATTATGTTTGGCCTTAAAAGGTTACAGTTCCTCTTCATCACACAAAGCATGACCCATGCTGTCTGACTCATATAGTAAACCTACTTTCAGCTGCTCCCTTATTCACAAGGGATCGTCACAGCGGGTTGATTTGGCAGTTTTAATGTTGGATACCCTTCCTGACACAACCCCAAAGGGATTTGTCTCTCCTCCCTCTTACTCAGTAAACAGCCATTAAATAGCAATTTATATCCTTCTTACAGAAGACTAACCAAAGGAACTTTAGGTTACTTGCGTAACCACAGTTCTCAGAGTAACATCAGTCAGATGTCTTACTGTGGGATGTGCCTCCCTTCACATTTCTCAGAGGAATTTGCCTCAGTATGCCAATTCTGAATGGCTGGTGACCATGTCAGACTGAACCACCAACCGTTAAGTGGCTTGAACTACTATGCAGTCATTACTCAAGGTAAGCACTTATCATATTTCCCCAACAAGAAGGGCTGAGGCAGCTTACGCATGTTACTCTGAGAACGGAGGTTATGCATGTCATTCTTGGCATTTTCAATGTCTCATTTTAAAGTCTCCAGTTAGCAAGTAGCCCCTTTATCCAAGTGAGGACAGTGATTTGCACTGCTTGGGATACACTCTAAGGAAAGCTGTTCAGTTGAAACAAAAAGTGAGTGGTGAGGACCAGCTTGATGCTGCACAACTTTTTTTTTTAAAAAACACTGCTCAAAGCTCCTGTCCAAAAAAGCATGCACAATAAAAACAGGAGACTGCATGTTGAACCTTTTGTTTTTCAGATGTTCTTCAGCTGTCAAGATAACAGACACAAATGAACCAACAACTTTAGACACAAATGCCAGGTCAGGCTTCAGTGACGCCCTGGATTGTTCAGGGGTAGACTTAGTGTTTGAAGGGGGTACTGACAGGCTTAGACTGTTAACAATGTCTTCAGAGATATGAACTCAACCTTGTGCGCTTTGATCGTCCCTGATAGCGTAGCCACTGTTCTAGAACAGTCTGATGCAGATCTCCATACACAGTGCCTCTGGGTAGCAGATCTAGGCCCAGATTCAGAGAGATCAGGACATGTTGCCCTCAGAAAAGGGAAATGTCTACTACTCCATGGGATCAGCTCATTGAGCAGTAGAAGCCCCATACAGGAAAAAAAACATACTCCTGCCTATGGACAATTACACTATATTGCAGGTTAAAATGAGCTCTAAAGTCAGAATAGGTGAATTATATCATGCCTGGAGAGCAGCACAAGCTACTTGAGGGTGGGTGGTTTGACTTGACATGGTCTTTTTGATCACAAGCCAATCAGCTGAGATACATGCTTTGAGGAATAGGCAGAAATGTGAATTACACAAACAATGAAAGCACCAGTATACTTTGCTGTACACTTTTCCACATTGGTTGCTTTGCACGATGCTGCAACATCATCACACAGTCGCAGATATGATGTAAATGTTGTCTCGCTCTGCGACAGGGGGTAAGCAGTGAGCATAAAAGCGGCCGGAGAGGCTGAGAAATGAGACATTGAAACATTAAAATTAATCTTAGGAATGAGAAAAGGACTTTGAGTCCAGCATTTTGTCCAAGGATAATTCAACATGCAGAACTAGGGAAGCCTGTAATTGAACCGTTAACCTTCCAGCAAGCAGACAACCCATTCTAACAGGTGTGTTTTTAAATGCTCTAAATTCCCTAAAAATAAAAAGGAAATGTATAGGTAAGGGAAGGGATTAAACACTGTTTACAGTTTGAGAAGAACTGAGTGGAAAGTCGAGTTTAATGGGTCGCTGTGGCTTTGCATATTTTGGGTTGGGTAATTTGTGGTATCATTTGGGTGAGGAGGATTCAACTTTGTGAGGCCCAGTGGAATGCAGAACATGCAATTATGTTGAGACAGCTTCTGCTTCTACTTCTGACTGTGTTATGTTTTTGCACTCTGGTCAACTGATTTAGCCTCCTTAAAGATGTGTGTCAAAGTGAAACGCACTCAAAATAAGAAGTGTGTGTGTGTGTGTGTGTGTGTGTGTGTGCCCCCCCCCACCCCCCCAAATAAAGAGAAGTTGACTGGAAAAGGCAGTGGCGGCAGGGTTACATTACATCACAATCGTTCATGTATTTTCAGGGCTGGCGTGGGTAGATGGCTGTGGCTTTTTGGGTTTTTTTTGTGTTCTCTTGTAAACAACTCATCTAAGTTTTAAGTGAGAGACAAAAGGAAGGAGGGCGGAAGTGTGGCCTGTTTGTTTTGGTCTGAGATAAAGGTGCTCTAGTGTGACATCCAGTGGATCTTAATGTCATGCATATCATCTTGTAACTCTATCCTTTTCCCCCTCATGTCCATGTGTTGACAAACTGCATAACCTCGTCATGTGGACTCTCTTTCTGTGCCTTGTACCAGCGTAAAAAGACCTTTCACTCATCTGTGGTTTCAGCATTGGAGGATAAAAATCCTTAGTCACAGCAGTTTAACATAGCTACTCGTTTCACACCACAACAGTGAAACGGGCACTCATGTTGTCCTGTCGTTGCAGGATGTCGAGGTGGTTTTCAGTAACATCCTAGACATCCACGAGTTGACTGTGAAGCTGCTCGGGTTGATTGAGGACGCTGTTGAGATGACTGCTGATGGCAGCCCTCATCCGTTGGTGGGCAGCTGCTTTGAAGATCTGGCGGAGGTATGAAGTTACTCTGATTTTCAAATCTTAAAACACACAAGTTCACAACGCAGCGCCAAATATTGTCTGAGCTTTTACTAGTATGGTTGGGAAATACACAATTTGCAATAAACTGCGTGTGCAATAAACTGTACAAAAAACAGTTTTGGTACTTCTTTGTTTTTGTGTTGGGTTGTCATGTGGTTGTTAAAAAAATGTAATGCATGGCTTGAATTTATTAGATTTGTTGGAAATCCGTTCATTCTAAACCAGCATGTCAGCATGAGTGCATCATTCTTGTTTTAGGAAAATATAGAAACAAAAATAATTCTTAGTTTTTGAGAGATTCTTTCTATGACGGATAATTAACAGCAAACTACTCAAGTCAATCCAGGATTTACTGCAGAAAGAGAAAAAGTTTGTAATTAAATGAAGTTTCTTCATTTGATTGCTCAAAAAATTGTCATTATTATTTAAGTCAGAATCATAGACCAACAAAATCTAACTAATATGACAAAATTAGTTTTTATGCTTTATTTTATCACAATCTGTGCTAACGACGTCTTGAAAAGCTACTTTGGCCAGTGGTTATAAAGGTATTTCTCCATATGAATAAAGAAAACGAAGTTTGGTTCCTGGCAAAAACTGCTTTCTCAGGAAAGCAACTTTCAAGTTGGTTTCTTGAGAAAGCAACTTTTAAATTGTGTTCTTGAGAAAGCAACTTGAAAGTTTGTTTACCACAACACTTCTGGTACCCACAGTGTTATGACTAAAAAAAAAAAAAAGACGCCGCACACTAACACAAAAACAACATCCAGCCATTGTAAAATATGGTGGAGGTAGAATCAACATTCGGGCTGCTCTGTTACTTTAGGGCTTGTATATCTTGCAGTTGTTGATCAGAATAATGGATTCAAAAGGATACGAGGAATTTCTAAGGAGGACATTAGGACAGCAGTTTAGGAGACTGTTAACGAAAACGCATAAAATAAACAACAAAATGGGTGAAAAGAAGGTTAATTACTGAGGAACTTTTCTAAGAACTAAGAACATTCCAATGAAACCCATCTGTTTCTATTACACTAAATAAATAAATACACTAAATAAGTAAATAAAACACTTATTACTGTAAGTCATTACTTGATTAACTACTTTGTGTAACTTGTGGTTATAATGGAGACGGCGCTGATGACTCAGATATGACACTGTCTTCCTGTGATGTTTTCTTAAGAATTCTTGTATTATTCTGCATGTGTGTGCAGGAGCAGGCCTTCGATCCCTACGAGACTTTGTCTCAAGACATCCTCGGCGGGGAATTTCATTCACATTTCAACAGCTTGATGGCACGACCAACAGTTGGCCTCTACTTCCAGGTAAGAGATTTCATAAGAGTTTGGAAAGGTGACGCTCAGGTCTCTACATTTGTTTGGTTTAAAAACATACTGTCATATTTATACAACCGCACATCCACAATTCAAAAGATGGGCCCATTGGACTGTTTCATGAAAATATTAGCTCATTTTGAATTTAATGGCAGCCACATGAATCAAAAGCTGGGACGGGTGTGAAAAAGGGACGGAAATGTAATCGGTGCTGAAAAGAAAACAGCTGAAATTACATTTTGCAACTGGCAACAAGTGAATAAAATGATCGTGTATTAAAAAATAAATCTGCATTGACAAATCGTGGAACAACTTCAGAACAATGTGCCTCAAAATGTAAAAATTGTAAGTTTCTTTTGGGGGAAAACTTGGATCCTGTCTCTTCCACTCTAAAGCATTAGAGGAGCTTCTGACTTGACATCAGGGCTCAGTTCAAAAGGTGTCATCTCTGATAACGTGGGGCGCATTAGTGACTATGGATTCGGCAGTTGGCACATCTGGAAAGGGGGCATAAGCCCTAAAAAGTATATACAAGTTTTAGAGCAACATATGCTTCCGTATAGACATTGTCTTTTTCAGGGAAGGCCTTTAATATTTCAGCAATGCCACATGCTAGATCTACTGTAATGGCATAGCTTCATAGAAGAGTCCAGGTGCTGGAATCCTCTACAGGCAGAAATGGGACAACAAGTCAATGAGATTTGCAAATCATTGCATTCTTTTATTTGCCATTTACAAAGCGTCCTTACTTTTTGGAACTTGGGTTACAGTGTGCATTTGAGTTTTATTTACTTTGACTTTGTATTATCATGCACTAGGTATGAGAATTAACGGTTACAGCTGTTACAACTGAGAATCAGTTCTTCTTTCTATCAGTGCCAAAAATAAACTTTACAGACTGAAAAATGCTGTAAAATAAAAAAGGGAAAATCTGTATTTTTTTTTTTTTTTTATGTACATATGAAGGTGTATGTAGGTCATTTTGAGTTTATACCCAGCAAACATTGTTTCAGTATTTGTTCCTGTTCTGCTTTGAAGTCAACCTGCATGCCGGGTGGAATTCCTCTTAATATCGCCGAGTGCATGTCATGACATATCCAGCGTCCTGTGTACAGTTTATTCGCTGCTGCTGCATTGTTTTATTTGGACATTCCTCACAAGAATAGCATTGAATTATGCTCAGTAGGGTGCAGTTTGGCAGCCTTTGAAGATTAAATATTTTCTGGTGTTTTCTCAGGCCAAAGCCCAGTGAGGTGGAGTGTTCACATGATGCAGCATCAGAGCTCCAGAGTCACTGTAACACCACTTGCAGAATGAGACTGTTTTCTGTTCTTCTTTTTTAAGCTTTTCAAAACAAGTGTCTAATTTTGTTCAAGTCAAATTTCTGTGTGTTACGAATCATCTACCTTTAGGCCTCATTTGTATCTTGTTGGCAGTGAGGAAACCAAGTCTGGCTGAGTGAGTGCCCTGCAGCCTTGCCTGTACCTCATTTTGAGGCCTCGCTGTGTTTATTTGTGAACCGCTAGACTAACCCCAGTTAGAGTGCTGGCACAGTCTTCTGATTATTCACACCTAGTGTTTATTTCCATATACTCATTGTATGAGAGTGAGGGAAAGGGCACCAGAGTTAAAAATACAGCTTTATTTGTGCACCATATTGATAACACTTTTTTTTTAAACAAAGAACTGTTTTGTTTCACAAGCTAAAGCAGCAGCACATAAGTAAAAATAGTGTCTTTGCTTGAGTGTATATATCGATTTATATATGTAAGAATGTATCAATCAATTAATCAGTTCAGTCAACAGAAAATAGCAATCAAGATTCATAATCTAAGGGGTTCAGTTTCAGCTTCTCCATTAGAAGGAAGTCTTTTTCCAAAGAAGCCCTTCTTTGGATGTTGGCTGTCAAGATGATCCCACGTTGCTTCATTCAGTCCAGGCTCTGGGTTGCAGTGATGGTGTGTTTGGGATCATTCGCATTGCTGAAAAACACAGATCACACTTTCTGGAAAGCATTGTGTGGTGTAGCAAAATCTGATGCTACGTTTCTCTGTCCTGCCCACCTCCATGTGTTTGTTACTCCATCTTATTCCCACTTATTTTCAATCCAGTGTCCTCAGTAGAAGCCACCCTTCCTCTGAGACCATTTCTGATGAGGCTGAGAACAGTAGATGAATCTCTCAGGTTCTTTATCAGGGCTTTTTTATTTTTTAATTAATTTTTTTTACGGACATGACTTTCAGGTAGTGTTCATCTGCTGTAGTGCTGTAGATGGTGATGTTGACACCATGAGACTTCTTCTCTTGTCACCTTACTTGTCCACTTTCTTCAAAATTTATAATGGCACACTGCCACAGCACTGTTTTCTGCTAATAGCTCTTTGGGAATCACATTGTTGTTTGAGCAAAAATACTGTTAGAAACGGGAACAAATGATGTGTTTTTGTGATTGGCTCCTAGTAAAAAATTACATAAAGAATTATCTGTCATGTGTATACACAACACTGTTTCATCCCTTGAGTTATGAGTTATCCCTTGAGCCTTTTTTTGGCTATTTGAATTATATCTCGGTGTTAAGCAGCTTAACAAAAATAAAAATCCTCTTAAAAAAATAAATAAATGGTCAGGTACAAGAACTGGACTGAACGCAGGTGAAAAAGCAGCCAATGTCCAAAGAAAGACTTTGAGAGACCTTCAGAAATCCTGGAGAACGATTCCTAAAGACCACTTTGGAAGTAAAATTTAAGGAAATGATATATGGCTGTGCCTTTT